GAATGTGGCTTAGGGAGTCCCCGGCGCAGAGAGCTGCGCTATAGACTTACCCCAAGAGGCCTGAGGATAGTAGTCAATATTTATATTTTTATACTTTTTTAGGTCTTTTTTGAGACAGGGTCTCCCAGTAGCCCCAGCTGTCCTGGAACTCACTATGTAGACCAGGCTGGCCTTGAACTCACAGAGATTCACCTGCCTCTGCCTTCTGAGTGCTGTGATTAAAGGCGTGTGTCACCACGCCTGGCATCACAAAAAATTTTAATACAAAGCAGATGATTCGAAACTAGGAGCAGCATATCCTAATATAAAACCATCTGTATCTATTTCTGAAAAAGGCCTGTTAGAGACACTTGTTGGTTTATCCATCTGTTCCTGAGACTGCCCTTAGGGACTGGACTTCACAACAGGATGGGGATCTGTTGATATTGAGCCATGGGAGCCAGCACTGGGCAGTCAACATTGTTGTGTTTTGGTCACTTTCCCCTAACTTCCCATCTATCTTCAAAAACTGTCAGTTCTACTCCCAAAATAGATTCCAAGTCCAACTTCTCCTCCTTGTATCTGCTGCCATTGCCAAGGTCATCCAAGCTACCATATGCTCTCATCTGGGGCTCTGTAATGGCCTTCTAACAGGTCAACTTGCCCTTTGCCAAACAAAGTCAGACTAGATCTGTCTCCTGCCCAATTTTCAGTAGTCACTCATTGCAACTTGAATGAAAACTAAACACAAGTTTTAGCCTCTGTGACCCTGCTGAGTCTGACCTTTACCTGCTGTGCCAACCGCTCAGGCCACTGCCCTTTACACTCACTAGGCTGTAGCAACTCAGCTATTTGCATTCTCTGTAGGCATAAAGGTCACCCTTGACTTATAGCCTTTGCACATGCTGTTCCCTCTGCTCTTCCACTCTCTGTTTAGTTAACATCAGTTCATCTTCCTGACCCAGCCCAAAGGTCATTTCTTCGGTGGAGGCCTTTGGAGTCCTAGAACAGGTCCAACCTCTTCTTTTTTTATGAATTCATTTCCCAGTCTGATTATGCATTCAATCATGTGCCAATTTTCTTAAAGTTTCTCTCCTCTACTAGACTTTAAGTGCCACAAAAGCACCTGGCACACAACAGGGGCACCACTAACAGTTAGCAAGCAAAAGACTATAAAGAATTATCTAAGTATTATTTGTTAAGGCTTCATTAAAAATAGCCAAGTCAAAATATCGCTGGTGCCAAAATGATCACATTAAAATGTCACACGTCAGAGAGAGAATAATTGCTTCCTAAAAGAAATTTGGAAGAGGGACTGATGGCTCCTAGCTGAAGAGGATCATCAACAGCTGAGAGAGGGGCACTGCGCAGAGATCTGAAAAATGGGACGGTTCTGGCCACAAGGAGGTGGAAGAAATGCCTTCCATCTGGACAAAGGCAGGGAGGCTGGGCGAAGTGGATGTGCGTCAACTGGTGAGTTGAGTGTGCGTCAAGGTGAGGACAAACCCTGCTCCAGGCAGCAGGAGCACAGGACACCTGAGCAGGCAAGGAGTTGGAAGAAGGCTGCCATCACATTGGCCTGGGGCCTAGAGAGAGAGTCACTGTTCAGGGCTGAGACTTGACTGGTAACATTATTTCAGGGCTTCTAGTTGAATAGGATCAATTCCTGGCCAGACAAATCCAGAGAGAACCAGGCATGGGAGCTGGCAAGAGCAGCCTGACTCTCTCTGTTCTGCTACAGGAAGATTTTGAATAGAAAGGGGAGGATCCCTACTTTGAAGAATTTCTTGGAAGCACAGTTCTTAGCAACAAATGACAACTCTGCAGGAGCCCCTCCCTGTGTCCTGGCTGTGTCTTTTTTTTTTTTTTTTTTTTTTTTTTGTCCATTTTTGATCACAGCAGGAACCACATTGATAAGCCATGAATCTTCTCTGGGAGAAGAGTGGGATGGGTGTGGCTGACTCGGCCCTTTATCTCCAGTGTGAGGGCTTGCTGTTGCTCAGGGGAGGGGGCAAGTGGAGCTGATTGAGGAGAGGTGGGCAGACACAAGCAAATGTGTGTGCATGGATTCTGTGAGTGCAGGCTGAGGAACTGAGATGGTCCAACAAAGGCTAAAAGGGAAAGAAAAGAAGCTAATAGGCTCCCAAGGCTGGGAGACACATCTAGAGCTATCACCTTCTTGAAATTGTCTTCCGATGTTCTTATTTGTCATCTGGTGATTTAGTAAATGGTTGACCATTATGCCATCAGAAATTTTATTAGAGCAGGCTAGTTAGCCTTGGGTGTTGAAAACTCTATAATTCTCCAGGAACTTGGCATTCTCAGAGCTGCCCCAGGAGAGGAAGCTTCATTTCTCCTAAGGCTTGCCAGAAAGGCAATCATACTCCCCACACACACACCATTACACCCCTGCATCTGAGCCTACACACTAACAAGATGCCAGGGGAAATTCTATGTGTCACATTTAAGAAGCTCATCTGCTGAAAGATCCCAGGTATCTAGAATGTTCATTAGCAGGAGAACCAGGTTCACAAGCTCTGCCTTGATACTCACTTAGCTTTCTAGATAATATTGGTATATCTCTGGCACAAATGGGGGAACAATAGAGAAGATTGTTGTAAGCACACATACCCACATGCATCCAGAAGGGAGCAAGTCAAATTTCCTCCTTTACAGGACACTTCCAGCCTCCCAAACCAGGTCCCCATCCATGTCTCCATTTCCCAAGGCACAGCCATGACTTACTTATCACCAATCAGCAGGTAAGGCTCCTCGCACCGGATGGGGTCAATACATTTGAAGCCCCCTTGCAAATTGTAGCAAGTCTGCAGCGGGGTACATGTGTGGTTTCGGTGTTCACACTCGTTGATATCTGAAATGCAGGGTGGACAAGAAGCACGGTGTTGTCCCTGGACCAAGTGCACAGGGGTAGAATAAGGGTGGGGACCATCTGGATCTCACAATCCAATATGGCAGCCACTGGCCCCAAAGTTATTTTCTGGGTACTCAAAATGTGGGTAGTGAAAATTGAGATGGGGTATAAACAGGAAATATACTTTGGAGCTCTATGGTTTAGTATAAGGATGGACAATATTGTATCAGTGACTTTCATATCAAGTACATATCAAAATTATAAGATTTTTGGATCTATTGCTTTAAATATAGTATTAAAAGTAGCTTCATTTGTTTGTCTTTGTTACTTTTAATGTGGCTACTAGATGAAATAAGTCACATAGGTAACTCATCTTTATTCTCATATTTCTATTGTCCAACAGCTCATGGACAATTCTTACTTGGTATTGGGATAAAGCTATTAATGGGGCAGTCACTCTACAAGACCCTCAGTAGCTACTGTGTGGGGATGCGTGCTGGATAGCTTTGGTGTCAACTTGACACACCTGGGTTGAGGGAGCCTCAACTGGGGAATTTCCTTCATTGGACTGGCCTGTGGCCATGTCCGTGGGGCATCTTCTTGATTAATGGGGGGGGAGGGCAACCCACTGTGGGTGGTGCCACCCCTGGGCAGGTGGGCCTGTGTTGCATAGGAAGGCAGGCTGAGCAGGGCCAGGGGAGCAAGCCAGTAAGCAGCATTCCTCCATGGCCTGTGCTCCAGATCTTGCCTCCAGGTTCCTGCCCTGAGTTCCTACCTTGGGCTCCCAGATGAAATGTGACCCGGGATATGTAAGCTAAATAAACCCTTTCCTCCTCAAGTTGGTACTGGTCAGAGTGTTTTGTCACAGCAACGGAGAAACAAACCAAGACAGGATGCTAATCTGGAGAAGACCTGGCCCTTTCATAGCCAAAGTCTGGATCTAGCAGTCAGTTATTTAAGGTCCCTCAACATTCAGTCTCTAGGAAGTCAGAGGAGGCTAGCTTAGCAAGCAGCCCTCTGGGCTGTATGAGGAAGCCAGCACTGGTCCCTCAGCCAGGTCTGGCCACAAGAAGCCTTGTTCAGGTCTAGGAGTATTCATTGGAGGAGCTGTCAAGATCTGCCTGGCAAGGTAGAAACCAACCTCAGAAGGCACCATCTACCTCTGCAGAGTTTATTATAAACATGAGTAGCCCATGTCCTGGCCAAAAGATGGGTCACTCAGGAAAGGGAGGAAGGTACCTACTCAGATATCCTGCCCATAGTTGTCAGCCCACCACACTCTCACCCCATCACTTCCTGAGACAGGATTCCCCAGGGGCAGACATCCAGATAGTCACCTGAGTGAGCCTGAGCCAGCCCCTCTGGACAGTCTTACCCTGGCAGCTTCGGTTGTCGTCCAGGAGAATGTAGCCCGGAGGGCACGAGCAGTAGTAGGAGCCTGGCTGATTCACGCACTCGTGCTGACAGAGGAACTCGGAGAAGCTACACTCATCCATATCTGGGGGTAGCAAGGTATAGCTGGATGTTATTTTCATACACTATCTACTCCAGCTCCCAGTCTCTCCTAATAGATGAATGATTTCAATGCTTTAATGTTGTCACCTCACTTCTTGAACATTTCTGCTGATGGGGAACTCACCGCTTGTGAGGACACCCATTGATACCTGGATAGCTCTGTTAGAAAATTCCTTCTTATGTGGAGCTGAAATCCACTCTCATCAAACTTCCAATGTCTTCTGCCTCTGGCTCAACTACATCAACTATTCACAACTGACTCGTGCCACATCCTCCCTCCACTCCTGACCTGCCCAAGGGCTAGGATTTGCTTATAGAACAGAGTTTTATAATAGTAGAGTTCTTCCCCAAGAGTCAAATAATAGCCACTGGCCCTGGTCTTCTAAGTGGCAATCTTAACTGTCAACCCCATACCCTAAGTTAAAGAACAATATTGTCCTATAATCAAAAATAAGAAATACATTCCAAAAAAAGAGAGAACTAGTTTTGTTAAAATTTCATTCTAGGGCTGGGAAGATGGCTCATTCAGTTTTTAAGTGCTTGCCCCATAAACATGAAGGCCTGAGTTCAAATCTCCAACACCCATGTACAAAAGCTGGGCATGGCGGTTTGTTCCTGTAATCCCAGCAGTGGGGAGGTGGAGACAGGCAGATTCCTGGAGCCCACTGGCCAGCCAGTCTAACCCATCGGTGAGCTACAGATTCAGTGAGAGACCCTGACTGAAAAAATATGGTAGAAGGGCTGGAGAGGTGGCTCAGCAGTTAAGGTGGCTGCTCCTGCAGAGGACCTGGGTTCAGCTTCCAGCACCTACATGGCAGCTAAAAACCATCCCTAACCCAAGTTCTAGAGGATATAATTCCCTCTTCCGGTCTCCATGGGAACTGGGGCACATGGTGTACCTACATGAAGGCAAAATCCATATATATACACATAAAATAAAATAAAAATAAAAATTTTTAAATAGGGTAGAGAGTGACTGAGGAAAACCCCAATGTCAATCTGTAGCTCACATGCGCGCGCACACACACACACACACACACACACACACACACACACGAAACCTATTCTTTCTATCCAAAACCTCCTTGAGAGAACTCTGGGGTAGTGTGAGGTGGGGCAGGAACATTGTCTCTGGTGGCCTAATTGCCTTGGATGTGACTGGGACAAGGGACACAGCAGCCTCTAGCCAGCCTGGAACCATCCTGCAGAGACGGGCTGAGGGCAGCACTGTCCCTGCAGTGTTAGCACGAGTCTGCATAGACTTTGGCAGCTGATGCAGGAACAGGCGTTCCAGAAAAGCCAACTCTTCATCGCACACAGAGTTTGGCTGCATAGTCCCATTTGCGCCTCATTCTACAGGCACGCCAAAGAAAACATGTTTTTCTTGAATTTGTTGTTTCCCGAAAACTTGCTTTCACTGGTTTCCCCATGTGACATGTCCTCAGATTACTCTGTAACTCACAGGCCACTGGTGGCTCAGATCACCCAGAGAGGGTGTTGGCAGGAAGGAAGGTGCTGTTCAGAGGTCTTTGGAGAATCCAAGTGCCACATGGCTACTGCCTCCTGCATCCCAGAAGAGAACCCCCCGCCAACACACACATATCTTTCTCAGTGGTCTCCAGATCATGAGTGAGGAGTCAGTGGAGTCAGAATGCTGATTTGAAAAGTCACAGCATATTCCAGTGTTATCTGCTCCTGCTATGCTCCCTCCTGCTCCTCCACCAGCTTTATAGAGAAAGCTGGTCTACAGCCATACCACCTTGAATGCATCTTATCTCGGGAGCTAAGCAGGGTCAGGCCTGGTTAGTACTTGGATGGGAGAAAGCTAGGGTCTCTGATCCCAGCCCATCATGACAGTGTCCTCATTTGTTTCTGTGCTGTTTGCAGGGTCCCTTCACTCCCTTAGTAGATGTAGTAGTGACACCTGTCAATCCCCAAGGCTCATCATGTGCCATATTAAAGGTGTTACATGTCTTGAATCCCTACCTCAAGCCTGCGAAGGAGGAGCAATGACTGTATTTTCCAGAAGAAAAACTGAGGCTTGCAGAGCTTAGGGAACAAGACCAAGTTCAAAGATAACGAATGAGTAAACAGGAAAGAGTGGAACTAAGCACAGCCAGCGTCCCGATGCTCCACTGCTGAGTATGAGTCGGTAAGGTCCCCTGAGTAACCATGTTCAGGACTGCAGCAGATCTGGTTGTCCTGAGGTGGAAGGAATACACTAGCAGAGTTAGCTCCAGTGTGGATCTCTGCCTCCCATTGGGTCAGGGAGGGGCCCTAACTCAGTCCACTCTAATTTGTCTTTAAGTCTGCAGTTCCAGAAATCCCAGAATGTTTCTTCACAAAGGGCTGTGTCTCCACCCTCCACTGAAAAGCTGAAATAGAAGCCGGGTATCTGGCAGGGAGCATACATTAGGCCGTTTTCATTTTCCCCTGTGAAATCTTCCCCCAGTCTCCAGGATTGGCTTAGCAAATCCCTGAAGGGTAATGGGGGGCCAGATTCAGAAGGGTCTGGTGCAGCACAGAGGGGCCACCCCAACCTTGAGAACCAAGTGAAGACAATGGTGTCCCAGCATCTAAGAAAATGAACTCCCCCACTGCTCATTGTCTACAAAGCCTGCAGGAACCACAGAAGCTAGCAGAAGGCGGCATCCAGTGACCATGGAGGACAGGGAGGCCATTCTGAGTCTAGTGAGTTAACTGAAAATCCTGCCAAACCAGCAAGGATTTGAGCCCCTTGAGAAGCCCAAAGTTCCTGACACTTAAGGAAGATTCATTAAGAAAAATTGACGTTGAGGAACACTAACTTGTCTAGTCATTATGACTACTCTGTGAAGATGTTGTTTGTTTAACTAGGAGGAATCTGAGGCTCAGGAAGCATGGTTGCCAGGGAAAGTAGTAAACAGAAGAGGGAGAGTTTGAACACAGCTCCATCTGACTCCAAAGTCCCCACCTCACTGCCCCTGTCAAATAATGGATTTGTAGGCCACTCTGGAAAAAGCACTAATCCCATCTCATAATGCAAAGTTTTCCACATCTCTCAGTCCTTGGCCCAGATTCCCTAAGGAGTGGCATAAGAGGAATTGCAATCTAGGAAGAAAGGGGCCTTTCATGCCTGAGGGCATTTTATATCTGTGTCTAAGGCTGATATTTAATCAGGCTAAGGCTCTATAACTGCCTGCCATGGCTCTGAGGGGCCTGGCTCTGAAGAGAGGTGCTCCTGTGTCTTGGGGAACCCTGACCCTAGAACACTCAAGTCCCAAGTGAAACTGGTAAATGAGTCTCATTCACAGCCCCAGTGGGTTCTTGTTACAGTGAAACCCAAGATGGGGAATCTTTGCATTTTTCAGGACAGAGGGCTTGCATGCCTAGAGCATAAGCCGCTTATTCTGAAGCTCACAGGAAGCATTACTAATACAGACTGTGCTAATTCATAACTGGGGAGGATGTTGAAAGTGAGTGGGATGATTTTAATGGAATATTTGCAAAGTAAAAGAAGAGCTGCCCATGGTTCTACATAGGATGCCACAGATGAAATAGGAGTAAATGTGTCCCTTAGTCTCAAAAAGTTAATAATTTCATAATATTTTTCTAACTAGGAATTAAACTTTTAACTCTCCAGGGGGAAAGAAAACGAAGTTAAAAAGATAATTACAACAGCGTCAAACTGGCATGGGCAGAGCATGAGGGCTTGGGCAGAATTCATAAAAAGTCAATCAAACTGCCACATCTAAGTCCTCACAACAAATTAACACAATTTCACCCACTCAACATTCACACTTTAGCTCAATGACTCAGGAACTGTTTACAGCATGTTCACTGTGTGCCCGGCCTAGAGCTAGGCACTGATTATTTGTAGAGCTTCCCAAGAACATGAAGAATATACACTTGGGGGGCTGAAGGGCTGGCTTAGCGCTATTCTTGCAGAGGGCCCGGGCTCAGTCATATACATAAAATAAAAATAAATAAATCAGGGCTGCAGAGATGGCTCAACAGTTCAGAGCACTGGCTGCTCTTGCAGAGGACCAGGGTTCAGATCCCAGCACCCATATGGCAGCTAACAACCATCCGTAACTCTGGTTCCAACAGATCTGATGATCTCTTCTGATGTCCACAGGCATTGCATGACATGGGCGAACTTACAGGCATGTAGGTAATATACTCATACACATAAAATAAAATAAAAATAATAAAAAATAAAATATTTTTAAATGAATGAATCTTTTTCTATAAAGAATATGCACTTGTATACTTGGCTAATTTATTCAATGTCTCCAACCTAATGAGAAATGCTGTCATCCTGGATCACTGTCCTTTACAAATATGATTTGTGCCATTCCCAGGACCTGCGCCAGTGCTGGGTGAGGACAGGTAACTGACAAAGCCAGATGAGTTCTCTCTCACCGAGCCCACCTCACCTAGATGGTCACTCTGCTGACTTTGCATTGGGGTCAGATGATTAGGAAGGTGAGTCTGAACCCCTCCTCTCAGGAAGTGATTCATCTTTGTTCTATGTGGTTGTGACCTGGTACTGGGAAATGTCCCCAACTAGATATATAACCAGGAAATGAGAGGAAACACCTGTGAACCCTCAGACCCCTGGTACAGGAGGACATCCCTGGTGCCAAGCCCATTACCACTGCAGTGAATGCCGTCTTCCTCAAGTTCATATCCTGGGTCACAGCGGCAGATGAATGAGCCGTAGGTGTTGACGCAGGTTTGCACACAGGGGTTCTCGGTTGCACACTCATTCACATCTGTACAAAGCCAGAGCACATAGCTATTTGCAACAGAAAAAAACACCCTAATGAGGCAGAAACATGAATCAGCAGCAAAATATACTATCACCAAGAACCCAGATTCACAGATACTCAGATCTCCAACCCAGGACCTATCAGCATAATCTCGGGCTCTATGGTGGTTAGTTATAAATTGTCAACTTGACAGGATCTGGGGACCACCTAGGAGACAAGCCTCTTGGTTCACCTAGGAGGAATCATTTAGCCTCTAGGCATGTCTGTGAGAGATTATGGTAGTGAAGTTAATTGAAGTGAGGAGACCCACACTAAAAGCAGGCCATTCCCTGGCTTGGATTCTGGACTGCAGAGATGGGGAAAATGAGCTGAACTCCAGCCTTCCTCACACTCTGCTTCCTGACCATGGACCTGTGACCTCAAGCTCCTGCTGCTGTGTCTTCCCCACAATCATGGACTGTACCCTTAGTGTGACCTGAAATAAACCCTTTTCCCCCTTTATTTTATTAGGGTGTTTTATCACAGCTATAGGAGAAGTGACCAGACAGGCTCCAAAGTGAAGAATTAAGGCATCCATAGGCAAACCCTTTCTATAGTGGCAAGCCCTTTTCTATAGTGGCAAGCCAGGAAGGTCACGACAAACACATCACATGTATCATCTATGTGTGTGTATACGTGTACCTACCAGAAAGTCTGCTCTCCCACACTCACCCATGGAATTTCCAGGCAGAACCTTCTCTTCTCTGTAACCAATTCACTCCTCTCTCACTCTCACTGACTTTGAAGTTTCAGATAAATAATCATGACAAGTCTAATATTTATTTTGAATAAATAACTTCATTGATTATTGTGAGTTTCCCACTTGCTCAATCCTGACAACAATTCTGCTTCCGAACTATTACCATCCAGTCTACAGGTTAAGTACATTAAGGAGGGGACCATACAGGGCACAAAGAATAACTGTGGATTTATCATCTTGAACACGGTAAGGGTTTCATGTCAACATTAATGGAACTGTACACACAGCAGTGAGCTTTGTTGTATGTCAACACTATATTAGCAGAGCTATTTCAGTGCTTTTAAAGCACTGTGCTCTTAAAGGTTGAGAGATGTGCCCCAGTTCACATGCTAGCAGGGGCCTGGTTGGAACTAGAACATGAGTCAAGAATATCTTCACAATCCACAGGATTCATTCTGCACAGCTCCTCAGGGTGGTGGAGGTAGAGGGAAGGAGCCCTTTTGACAGTGGCATTGGCTGACCCCTCGCAAACACCTCCTCCCATGCCTCACATGCCATAGCAGAGGTTCCAGCTAAGTGACATTTTTTTCTACCTCAGAAGTCCTATTAAGCCTTTTAAGGCTCTTAAGAGGGCTTTGAGTGTTCTCAGAAGTAAAGGCCTCTGTGGTGAGCAGCTTAAGAGGCCTTTCTCATAGGGGAGGGCTAATCCCATGCCCACAAAGTGCCTGCTTCCTGCCGTCTCTGGAACCCTCAGAGGAAAAATAAATAAATGAACAGCCATGTAGGGAGGGTCTGGTGAGATACCAGCTTGCCCTGGTACCCATGAGAGGCTGGCATTTCTCCACCTAGGCTGAGGCATGAACATGTCCCTGGTTTTTAGCCACATGCAGGTTCAGATAGGCCCACGCTGCTGCACATTAGGGCTGGTGTCCTCAGCTTCTGGCCAGACGCTTGCCATGTAGAGAGGGATGAGCTCAATCCTCTTCCCACTGTTGAGTTGCTTCTGAGAGGACTGAAGGGTTATACTCCTTGAGCTCTAACTGCTTCTCCCTCTAGCCTTTCCAAGGGTGTTTCTGAATCCTGACGGCAGGAGGCTGAGGAGATGGCTCAGTCAGCAAAGTGCTTGTTGTGTGAGTGTGAAGGTCTGAATTCAGATCCCCAACACCCATGTACAAAGCCAGGGACGACTGCATGACCAAGGCAGGCTGGCACAGTTGTAATCTCAGGGTTGGAGAGGTGGCGACAGAGGGAGCCCTGAGGCTTGCTAGCCAGCAGTTTGAGTCCTGAGGGCAGGGTGCCCCATCCAACTCACTGGGCCCTTGGTCTTCCTCCCAACTCTGCCACCACCTAGCCACCTGACTTTGATCCAACAGCTTCTCCTCTGTGAGCTTCAGTTTTATTCATCTGTGAAAGGGAGCTGCAAACGCTCTCCTGCCCACCTCAAAAGACTATTGATGGGGTTCAGTGAGGTTAGCTGACAACATAACTTTGAAGTGACGAAGTGCTCTTCCACGTACAATGTGCGAGGATTGCAAAAGTTTGACAGGGTCCATCACAGCCTGTGTGGCCTTCAGGCCCTGCTGATGCAATCCTAGTGGCCAAGTGCCCATACCCAAGCCCAAGTTCTGTGCCCGCTGCTTTATCATACTGCTGGACTTGGCACTGCCAGGTGTATTAGCTGATCTTTGTCACAGACCTGTCCCTGAGAAGCATGATGCCATGGATGGGTTTTGGCTCTGCTGTGCATGGTTGTCCCTCAAAAGATCCTGCCAGGGTGTACTGTGCCAGCCTCTAAAGGGAAAGCCTGGGCCGGCACTCCACCCCCAGCCTTGGTCCCAAGAAGTCGGCATCTGCCCTAAGTGGCTTATCACAGCAGCAAGAGAGCCAGGCGCCTGCTCCCTGCTCCAGTGGGAAGGAAGGGCCCTGTTCTGTTTACTTCCTCAACCCCCACCCTCCCCAGCCCTGTTCTGCTCTCAGAATAAAGTGACTACTGCTGGCAAAAGGAGCCCAGGCAGGGGGCTTCTTGGAACAATTAGCAGAACCAGCTTTGGAGGAAAGCCTCACAAAGAATCCAGGATCAAACCCTTGAACGCTGATGCCTTCCTGTTTATCCAGTGATTTAGATACGATTAAACTAATGGAGACATAATATCCTCTGACTAGCTGGCCAGGAGCCTGCAGACCAGAACTCACTCAGATGGTGTGACAAGGAAATGGGCCCTGTGAAACCTGGTGGTAGACTCCAACAAAGACCTCATTCTACATCTCTGATGCTGCCTCCACCCGGGAGCAGACCACTGCCAGGGACTAGGGGCTGGAGCTGAAGTGGGGAGCCCGGGCCAGATCACAACTTAACAGTAATTCCTTGGGTCTTAAGGCCCCCATTCACTTCCTGAGCAGAAGAACCCTTCTGATGGGAACCAAGGTAGACATGTAGCTTGCTTTTCTTATTTACCAGTGTTGGAAGTGATCATGTGAAAACTAGAAAATACCTTTATTTCATTCTGCTTTTGTGGAACCTGCTGAGGAGCCAGGGAATGTAATCCACCCACAGATCTGTTAAGCAAAGGCGCTCTTGACATAGGTCAGAGGGAAAACTCCAGTGAGAGGTCTGGAAATGGCCCATGAAGCATTTGCATAGTGTGTGTGAGTACGTGTTTGTTTTGTGATTCATTAGCAGTCAGGGATCTCTGGGCCTCTGCAAAGCCACTCCTGAGAGCAGACAGAGGCAGATCACAAACCCATAAGCGCTCTTCTGGTGGATGACTGTGGTTCTTCCCTCTGCAATACTCAGAGCACTTTTTGAGCTGCCTCCCATACATAACCAGTTCTGGTCTCAAGTTTCTATAAGCAATGGGATGAGAGGGTAGTACAAGGAAGGGGAATACACTTTAATGACAAGTGTTTTGCAGACGTAAACTGTATGGCTCTGAAGGAGACTGTGTCTAGTGTTTCACCCCCCATCCAAGTTATCATGTACTCCACATACCTTGGCAAGATCGTCCATCCTCATTGAGGGTAAAGCCTGGGTTGCATGTACAGGAATAGGATCCAGGAACGTTTGCACAGAGCTGCTGGCAGTAACCATAGCGACATTCATCAATGTCTGGAAACAGAAATACAAGCAAGGTAAGACAGGGCTCCTCCCTGAGGTCAGCATCAGCATGTTATTGTTGTCCTCCTCTTCAAGATGCAACCACAAGGGATGTGAAGGGGAGCAGCTGCCAAGACAGTGCCTACTAAGTGTCAGGGATGAGGATGTCATCTGGATCACAGGGGTCAGCCTCCCTGCAATCCTCCACCTCTTGGAACAACCTCTGTCCTATAAACACTTGAACCTATCTTGAAAGTTATAGCAAAATTTTCTACTTTGGAATATTGTGCAAGATGCCTTCCCAGAACTTCCCCAACTCTCCAAGATTTAACAAAGATTTATGCAATATTAAGGTCCGACACTGTGATTCTATATGATCTTTTCACTGCCCTAAACATGAACAAGTTAGCTTAACGTGTAAGAAGATCCACAGCAGCTCTCCAGTGGGCTGCCTGCCAGCTCCATTAACAATGACTATGATCAGTTGGCAGGAACAGGAGCCGGGACCACCAGGATAGCTGGGTAATGCTACAATGAGACCTAAGAATCTAGTAACACAAGGATCCTCAGGTGCTCACCTTGGCTCTTGCCCCTACACCAGAGTGGACATGACCCTCTGAATAAATACACTTCTGAGCCATGGCTGACCTCCTCAAGAAGAACAGCAGTATGGTAGGGAGTGTCGTATTGCAGAGCTGTGCAGTATTGCCTCCAAGTCCATGGGGAGCCTGATGTCATTGGGAAAGCACTTTACAACATCCCTGATTGAAGGGGTGATGGGCTGGACAATTCCTTCCTGTCCTGTAGGGAGTATCCAATGGAACTGCCATACTCTAAGAGGAGACTGTTCTCACCTACACAGGCTCAGCTGGGACCAGCTGATCTATTGTAGCTGTCACTGACCCTTACATCATCCCCAGAAAGTCCTCATGACCCCTTCCTTGGTACTTAGTGCCTTTGGAATCAGGGTCTAACCAGGCCTCAGGAGCCCAGCTCAGTCTTGATCCCTATGTCCGGTTTCTACTACCTACTGCCAGAAAGGACTCCTTTACCCCAATCTATCCTAATCCCTTACCTATTTTTGGCCCTTGAAGATTCTGAGCCCTGCCTTATGATTCTGTTTTATCTCAGTTCTAGGCACTTCTAACACCACCCACCCACCTCCTCCTGAGCTCCTACTTGGAAAGCCCTTTGGCTTGCATAGTTGTTGGACCTGAACCCTTCCCAGGGCACAGACACATCACCAATGCCTACGGAGGCAGCAGAGACAGAAAGGGTACGCTTTCCTTAAAGTAGGAAGAAGCATGACCCCTGCCCTTCATTTTTCTACAAAAGCAAGGCCTCCAACAGCACGCAGAAGGAATAGCGGGTGGCCCTGGGCTTTCATGTTGAAAGACAAAGGAGAATTTGGCCAAGAGAGGCATGAGGTGAGTCACAATTAAGAAAGACTCACAAGTTCGATGTGAGTATGAGTAGGCTATGTTACAAGGCACATTAAGCAGCCACGGGCATTCCTTCCTTCCTGCTCAGTGGAAGAGAACAACCTTCTCAGAGGGCAGTTTCTGGTATTTCTCAGGAGAGATCTGTTTCCTAGGTTTCTAAGACTGGGCCCTTGTATCCTGGTCTCTGTCTCACTAGCGCCCCTTGTGGTAGGAAAAAAACTGGCTAGAGGAGCAAGAGCCCAATTTTAAGACTCATCTCATTTAAGTTTGTCCAAAACATTCCACCTCTTTGAGTTTGTCTCCAACTCTATAAAAATTGGATGACATACCTAACATCCTTTCCAGCTCTGAAATTCTACATAATAAGTTCCTGTACAAATAACTCCCTCTCACTGATCTGCTTATGTTCAAACCAGTAGCATCAAATTTTCCATTAGAGCAGAGGTTGGTTTAAATGCATAGGGACTGTTGTATTCCCAAATGTCCATATGTATCAGCTCTTCCGTCCCTCCCTGGAGAGGAGAACCAAGCCAAGACAGGGATGCTTATCATGCCTCAAAGACACCTCAAATAGGTCACAAGAGTCAACCCAAACTCAGCCTTAATGCAGAGTCCTGGAAAGATTTTTTTCTTTCCTCATTTTATATATATTTGTTTCTATAATGTTGTCTGTATCTTTTTCTCAACCCTCTAGGGCTGACTTTCAGGCAACAGAATACTGTCTTAGAGAATTTAAACTGGAAAGACTTTTCCAAGAAAACACAACGTAGGAATCACATCCTAGGAGAAGAAATTGAAGTGACAGCTGGAGCTTACTATGGATTCATTCACTTGGCTAAAGACAAATCTAGAAGACGAAAAGGAGAAAAATAGCCAACTGTAAGGGATAAACCTCTCAATCAGTGATGACTGACACTTTCGGGGTAGAAAAAAAGCACAGTTATGAAGTGGGTATAGTGGAGTGGTGGAGCATCTGTGATGGGTACTGGAAGGAGATGATGCTGGAGCCACATTTGAGAGATGGAGCATTTCTATACCAAGTATTCCCTCAGCTTAGGCTTATTCTAACTAGGGTAGAAAAAACCATACTTCCATCATTTCTTGGCTTAGCTCTAAACTTCCTGAAGACAAGAAGAAGGTCTAAGCAAACTTAAACCCAAGCTTTTACTTTAAAAAAAATATATTATTTTTATTTATGTGCATGTGAGTGTATTGCCTGCATGTATATAAGTGCACCTGTGTCGTGCAGTGCCCACAGAGGTCAGAGGAGGATGTTGGATCCTCTGGAATTGGAGTTATAGACAAGTTGTCAGTCACCATGTGGGTGCTAAGAGGTGAACCTGGGACCTATTGAAACTACATTTTAAAGGCTTGCGTTTGGGGCTGGAAGCATGGCTCAATGGTTAAGAGCAATGGCTGCTCTTGCAGAGGACCTGGGTTCAATTCCCAGCATCCACATGGCACTCTTCTGACCTCTGCAGGCATTGCACAACATGAATACACTCATATACATAAAATAAAAATAATAAATATTTTTAAAATGTACTTTCAAAAAATATTATGAAATGCTAGTGATGGTGACAACTTATTTTAATGGATGGTGACACATGTAAGATCATTTCATAGCCTTGTATACATGCCCAAAGAAAAGCTTATTTGAGTCCTCCTACTCCACCCACATCGTACAGTGTCCCTGACAACCATCAACTTCCAAGAGTCCTTGGGAGCCCTAGAGAGCTCTTACCTAAGCATTGGCCTTCCAGAAGCCAGTAGCCATCGGTGCAGGAGCAGGTGTACCCTCCTTCCGTGTTGATGCAGATCTGGGTAGGGTTGCACTGGTGGGAGTCCGTTGCACACTCATCCACATCTGTAACACACAAAAAAATTCCAAAGAGTGTCACCTATATCTTTCAAAGAGCCTTAAAGCCACTGTAGTGCCAGCTGCCCCTTGGTCTTGGTTGGGCTACACACCCAAGCACCTACCTCTGGTGGGCACTTTAAAGACATACTGGTCTTTAATTAGATTGGGAAGAGCTAGCCTTGCCCAGGGAACATGTATGGAGGGAATGACCAGGAAGGAACATATAGTCTCAGGCATTCTTCTGTCACCCTTTACCATCGCTTTCTGTATGTATACCAAACAGACAATGGCCAACAATAACCATTGTTTGGTTTAGGAAGGCTTTCTGTAGCTGTGCATAGAGACACATTCCTTTAATCCCAGCATCTGGGAGGCAGAGGCAGGTGGATCTTTATGAGTCCAAAGCCAGCCTGGTCTATACAGAGAGCTCCAGATCAACCAGGGCTACATAGTGAGACCCTGTCTCCCCTAAAAAGGCATTCTGTATTAAGCTTATTCATTAATGTGTTGAGCAGGATTCTGCTATGTACCTACTGTGTGTACAGGACTCAGCTAATCACTTAGTATATAACAGAAGTAAAAGAAATGTTCCCCTAGGACTGGAGAGATGGCTCAGTGGTTAAGAGTACTGGCTGCTCTTGCAGAGGACCTGGGTTCCATTCCTAGCACCCACATGGCAGCTCGCAACCACCACCTGTAACTCTAGTTCTAGGGGATCAGATGTCATGGGCATTGTATGACATGGGTGCATTTACATTCATGCAGGCAAAACACTCATACACATAAAATGAAAATAAATAAATCCAAAAAATTTTTAAATAAATGTCCCCTGCTCCCAGAAGCTGCTAGTCTGGGGACCGAGTTGATCTTGTTCAGGAAAACCTGTCTGGGCTGGAGCCTCAACCCCTTGCTAGAGCTCCCTAGGGCCTCTTGGGCCTCCCTGTACTCCAGACAAACCTGGAATGAAAGTACTTGCTCCCAGGTTGGTCTCTGCCCCTTATGGAGAACATCAAATCTATAAAAGTGCTTGTGCCTGGGTTGGTCCCTGCCCCTTATGGAGAACATCAGAGCACAGAGTCTCATCCATGGTTGTATGTCCCAAGTGTCTGAAGCAGGCACTGGACACAGTCGTTGCTCATAAACATTTAATCTGCAACATCCTTCCTCCCTTTTCCCTGCATTGTGCTTGAAGGGAGAGTACCCAAGGTCCTGGGATGGAACCTCATGATGGCATAGTCTCACTTTGACCTAAGGGAAAAGGCTTTACATTAATGGTTCATGCACTGGTTCATGCCACAGGGGCCAAGGAGCACCCTAGATCTGCCCAGCCTGAACCTTTCCTCCTGTGGATCCTGCCCTTGCCTGCCTGGCCCCTTCTGTCATTCCCTCTTTCATGACTGCAGCAGGGTTTGTTCATTGAAGCCTTTTCTCCACCACTGTCAGATGAACCATCGGGCAGTTGAAAGTATCATTAAAAGCTGCCATTCACTGTGTGTTGTATCTGATACATTTTTTTTTTCCTCGTGGAACCTCGTGATCCCATTTTACAGCTGGGCAAACAGAGCTGAGGGAGCAGTAAGTACCAAGCTACAGGCTGGGCCTAGGCTTCCTTGTACCTGACCCAAGTTTGCTAGAGCAGGGGACATGGAGAGAACAAGCAGATGCAGGGGGCGCTGGCCAAGGGGACTGCAGTTTTGCTGTCTTTCCCTGCCCCACTTCACACATCTGCCTTTTGACACTGCCTACTGCAGACTTTCTCCTCATCCATTCAAATGGCATCTTTGGACTAGATATGGCTGAATGGTAGAGTACCTGCCTAGCATGCCCAAGGTCCTGGATTCAATCCCCCATACCACAGATAACAGCTATGCATAGGTGTGGTAGAGGTAAGGGGTTCTGGGACCCAGAAGTGTGGGCTCCTTGAGATAGAACATTGTGTGACCCTGGGCTTAGTATACTGTGTGCTCAGGTACCCAGCACAGCTGAGTGCAACATTCAACCAGGTAAGCCATAGTGTGTTAATAATAGTGTGGGGTTAAGTGATGCTGCCCCAATCCACAACTCAAGACTAGCAGCACTGACAAATCCCTGCCCCATTCCAGAGTGGCCAGGTGTCTGGGTTTCATAAAGAGCCAACCTTCACTCCTCTAAGAATGGACAGCCTTCAGGAGTCTGATCCACAGTAGTGGCACCTCCATCCCATTCCAACACAGAGACAACACGCAGTCTCAGTGCAAAGCCCTAGCCCAGTTCTCAGCTACAAACTCCTGCCCCTGTCCTTCGCCTCCCTTCCGTGCCAGCTCTGCCCATCCAGCCCAGCCACCCAGGGGAGCCAGAAAATAATGCTTGGCCCATGGCCACTCCTGTCCCAATCCACATCCAAGCTTATGACAATAAATAATGCCACCATTGGCCAGGACATATTTACATTTTCCTGGTGGGGCGTGATGGATGGTGATTGTACCCTGGGAACAACATTGCCCTGGGAGTTTCTGCTCTTTTTCCTCCCTTCAGGGTAATGAAAAGTAAGAGAGATTAAAGGGTGTGAAGAGCCAAGGGGACCACAAGTCCCCAAGCCTCTGCATTTGCCTGATGAACGACACAAACAATTTGCCCGCAGAATCCTACAGAGAGAAACCAAGCACTCCAGACTAAGTTCAGAGGACAAGAAGGACTTAATGTGGCTTGTGTACATGAACACACACACACACACACACACACACACACACACACACACACAAAGGATTCAAGTCCAAAAACAAAATCTTTGAAGTTCATTGTTTTAAAAAGCTGTACTGCTTTTACCAAACCAAAGACTTCACTCTGTGATACACTACTTCTGTTGATATACATATAAAAAAATTAAGCATTTAGGGCTAATGAGATGGCTGAGTCGGTAAAGGTGCCTGCCACTAAGTCTGATGACCTGAGTTCGATCCACAGAACTCACATGATAGAGGAAGAGAACTAACTCCCACAGGTTGTCCTGTAGCCTCCATATGCACGCCATGGCATGAGCACACACACATTTATACACACATAATTTATTTAAAATTTAACTTCACTAAATTTAATTAACTTTCACTAATTTTTTTTTTGCTGAATTGTAAGTATAAAGTATAATTTGAAAACTCAGTAGATCCCTAGAGCTTTGTGAAAGGTGTCTCCCATCTTTATATCTGGTGTGATGGTGTGTTCATGGCAACCATTTAGTAACTATGGGATGAATGGATGCATGAACCACAGGCATGAATGCTATTAAGCCCCAGCCAGGATTTCCTCTGCCAAGTAACTGACAGGACCATTTTAGGCATGTGGGATTTAAAAGCAGTCAACCCCCCTCCAAACCACTGTCAGTTCACACACCTGCTGGAGCTCAAACTGGAAATGTTTGCTATGTGGGTTTCCACATGGGGCTGAATGAGGCATCACAGATTCCAGCTCACAGATGAACTGCTTACATTAAATACGTTTGACTTAAATAAAAGAAGGAAAAATACATAGAACCACTCCAAGGACATTCTTTGGCAGGGTCTCCTTTTCTGCATCAGTGGAAAAGTACAAATTACAGCAACCTGAGCAAGTGGCATTATCCTCATGTGCAAATCGTATCTGTTATTTCCTTTCCTGCATGGTCATTAGGAATAGTTTCCCAGGCAGCTGCCTGGGCACCTGAAGAAGTCTATCACAGTGACTGTGTCTGGTTCCTCCTCAAGTAGAGCAATATCTATCTGCTGCCCGGCTCACTAGCACCCTAGCAACTAGAAGAAAATGATCATGGAATTTTCTAGAACCTAGAGAAGCCCAGTATTGTTCCTGTCTAGGAAGAAATCACCATCTGCATCAAGTGGCACAGTTTTGCTGTCCCATGAGGCATTGGGTAAATTGTCACTGCTTCCTTCATAAGCCCCCAGTGTGGCCCTTCTCAATCTCAAACAACTGCTCACTTAGAAAAGGCATCAAACCAGTCACTGCTGTGCATTGATGTCTTTTGAGGAAACAGCAGGCTGCGGGTTCCTGGGCTCAAGACGGTGCTCCACACGAGAAGGACAATCGCCAAGCATGTCATGCAACTAGCTGTGGCTCATCTTCCAAGCCAGTGAGCTTATATGAGCAGGTAGGCCAAGGCAGTGTGGATGAAGGAAGTTCCTCTGCATTCAGTCGAGGTCTCCCAGAGGCACCAGGGGGTGGAATGGCTCCTCACATCACCACACAGCTGTCAACCATTCTGAGACAACAAAATCAACCATCTTCCACACAGTTCAAGAGGCAGCATGACAAGGGACTGCCATCACAAGCTACTGCAGGCCCTAGCCCTCGAACAAAAGTGTGCCGCAAAAGCCAGAGGTGACTGGCACCCCCACTCTGCAAGTTCTCTGAGGACTTTATGGGTAATTATGCTGCTGACTTATGCCCACTTGATGTCCTTTCCTTGGGAATGGGCTGCTTCTCAGAAAACGCCACATGATGCTTTTTCTGCCTCATATGAAATGGTTTCATGAACATTCCTAGTGTTAACTCTCAGCTAATTACCTAAAAATTTCCATAAGTAGGCACAACACACTTAATGTGCTACCATGAATATGTTTCGGTCTAAACAACATGCAAACGCATGCCTGCTAGTACTATATTTTAAAGTACATAGTAGAGGCACAAGCACTTATGCTTTGACATCTATTCCTGAAAGTTAACACAAAGATATTTTAGATTATTTTCATAACACAAATTCTAAGTAAACTAAAACGTCTTTTTAAAACTGAGGCTGGAAAGATGGCTCAGTGGTTAAGAGCACTTGCTGGTCTTCCATAGGACCCAAGTTCGGTTCCTTGCACCTACATTAGGCAGCTTACAACAACCTGTAACTCCAGCTCCAAGGGATCTGACCCCCTCTTCTGGTGTCTATGGGTGCCTAGACAGATACATGCATACACGCACACAAACACATGCACATAAGTAAAAATAAAACGTTTTTTAAAAACTGCATAAACTGGGTGTGATGGCATGTC